GGTTGGGTTGGGTTTGGATTGGGTTGGATTCAAGAGAGCCTTTTCTAACTCTCCTTGTCAGAAGAAATGACATAGAGGAGAGTCTGTAGTAACTGGCCTGAGTTCTAGAATAGTATCAGACTGAAGTTATAAATGTTAGAATGCTTTGAAAATTTAATGACTAACTGAATGATGTATGTTAGAAGGAAAGGTTAGAAATAGCCACTAGATGAATTCTTGTGGCAGATGTGCTCACCAGGCTACTCAGTCCGAGGGCAATAGGGTTATGTAGTACAATGGAATTATGTGCAAAATAAATCCTCTCCCAGCCCAAAATGCCATTTCCCTCAAGATAACAAAGTGTACATCAGAGAATGGTTGTAGCCCTGAGATTGGACCATGAAATCTTACCATTTCAAGATGAGATTTGCATGATTTCTTCTCATTGATTGCACCTTGCATTTGAAGGTCTTCTCCTGAGGCAGTGTATAAAGAGGTAGAGTTTCCTTTTGACTAAACTTTCCTTTTATGTCCATTTCAGATGATCTAATTATTTCAGAAGATGTTGGGGCAAGTATCTTCAATGGGCAGAAGAAGGTGCTGTATTATGCGGATGCCCTGACAGAAATAGCTTTTGTTGTCCCATCACCAGTGGAGTCCCTAAGTAAGATCACTTTGTACATGCTGTTTACAAAATCCAAACCAATGGTTTTTTGTTAGAGAGCTTTTTCTGAAGCGGAACCTAAATAAGCTAACAGTAGTGTGTCTAGCAAGATCCTTGGCAGAGAGCTACTGATGTTTGTTACAACATCCTAATCCTTAGACTCCTTTCTAAGGTGGTATGTGCTCTGTGCCCCTTTTGCTCAGTCTAAGCCTCAATGTGTGTCCAGGTTTGCACAGCGGGATTGCTGTTACCCTGGGTGCGTTAGGTTGGACGTGTGGTTCACCATGCTTTTTTTCTCTCCTGTCTTGATGACCTGCTCCTGCAGCACATGGAGGAGCATGTGCACAACTGCTGTGTAGGTGAGCAATAGCTTTCACGACATCTTTTGCACACTAAAACCAGCGTGCTAATGTTTCCTGGAATAAAAGGGCTGTGAGGAAGTTATAGCCATAGGAAGGAGGAGGCTGTGTTCCACAGGAAATGAACAGGATGCTTCTGCATCCATAGGGAGTGCTTTAACTGTGGTCTGTTTCTGGAATAACTGGCAGTTGTCCATTGCTGAATCCTCTTCCTGCTTTTGAGTGCTGTATTGACTGTAAATCTACGTATGTTTAGTTTCAAAAACCTTACAACCTCTTTTTAGTTTCAAAACCTCACATATGATGACAGCTTAAGATTTTTGGCAGAAGAAAAGACAAAACCCACCTTTCTTCTGGCTTACAGCTGATTCACTGGAAAGCAATGTCTCCGACCAAGAAAGCGAGTCCAACATGGATCTGCTGCCAGGAATATTGAAGCAGCAGTCTCTGACACTTGAACTCTTCCCCAATCATACAGACAATCTTAATCCCTCACAACGGGTAAGGCTAAACTTGCGTTGAAAAATTACTTTTATTTTTGTCTCCCCAAGAAGCACGTTGGCAATGCTACAGCATTTTTTGATAGTATATGATTTTTCCTAGCATTTGGAGGTACTTGTTCCTAGCCATTAATCTTTAACATCTGCTTTGGTCCTGCCAGAATTTGCACCTGCAGTAGGAGATTGCAAGATTACGTTAGTTAAATATAAAACTTAAACATGCTAAGTAGTAATACTCTGCATACTGAAATCTTGAAATGCCTGCAGCAAAAACTATATGCAGTATTTATGAAGTAATTCAGACTCAAATTCATGCTTGGAAATTCAGGATTTGCACGTACCCAGTTTAAATAGTATGCATCATTTGCATCTGAAGTATCGGATGTGAAGTTGCTTTTGTATTGTAGCAAAGCAGAAAACCATGAACTGTTGCAACAGTTAGCAAAGGACTTACAACTACTGATTTCTTGTATAGAATTCACTTCCAAGTGTATATTTAGTTACTGATTTAAGATCTTTGAGAACATTAAGAAAAACTTGAACCAGTTTTTAAAGATTTTTTTAAGATATTAATTTATGCTCAATATAGATATTGTGGAGACCCAGATTACTGCTTTTCAGTGAGTAGTTCCACCACAGCTGCCCCATCTCAGTAGTTGGCAGAGGTTGTACCTGTCTGAGATGTGAAAAAGTAAGGAGCAACTGTGGAAATACTTGTTGGATGTGTTACTGGACTCATGATGCTTGTGTTCCCTTGTGTTCAAAACAGCTCAGTCCTACCTCCAGATCCAAGAGGGTGCCTCAGGGCCGGACCATTCCACCAGTGGGACCTGAAACCAAAGTGTATGTGGTCTGGGTGGAGCGTTATGATGATATAGGTGCGTTGAAGTTTTTATTGTTCACTAAAGTAACAATAGGGCAGGAACCAGAGGAAAAACTCTGTTCCATTCCTCTCTAAAACACTAAATCCTTATTAATGTCTGTAACTGACACTTTTAAGATGCTAAAACAGTTCTCTGATATTTGAGTGGTGGTCCATGGGGTGTACATGAATCAGTAGCATGTAGGTCTGGAGATTATTCTAGCTCTGGCAGTACATGTGCAGTGCTGTCATGCACCTCCTTAAGCTTAACGCACAAGGCAAGTGTGTTAAGCAAGGGCAAGTTCCCTATGGATCTTCCTTTAAAAACAAAACAAAACACAAAAAACAAAAAACCCCACAAAAAAACCAACCCAAAAAAACCCCCAAAAAACCAAACTTCTGACACCTGCTGCTTCTGTGCTGAAGGGATCATCACCCTTCTTGGTTTGATGGTACTTTAAACTTTGCTGTGTCTCTCTTGCGTGAGGGCTCGTTTGTTCTGTGCTTGAGGTGCCCGTTTCATGCTATGCCGTCCAGCTTCCTTTCTGCACCTTTGTTCAGGCAGGGTCCTGCTCCTTGTGCAGCTTGATGTTTCTTTGTTTGGTGTTCCTCCCTGACTGTGGCTGACCTGGGAGAGACCCAGCTTTGCCCATCCTGTCACAGCCATGGTGTGGACAATGGTGGGCAGCTGGCTGCTGTGCTTGAGGAGTCCTTTGTCCCCAAGACTTGTTGTGTGCTGGTTCTAAGCCACAGCCTGGCTTTAATGCTGTGCAAGAGCCTCTCTGTCCTGGCCTAGACCAGTAGAGTCTGTAACGCTGGCCAGTAACTGATACTTTATTCTGTCTTTGATTTCTGATCCTGGTTCCCAGTTTGGCAGTAGGGGTGGACCTTAATTAAGCCCTTAGCTCCTCCCAGAGGAAAACAACCAAGAGAATGGGAGTGATCAGGAGGAAGTTTGCTGTGAAGCGTAGGTGTAAATTCTCAAGAAGACTGCCTTGTCCCCAGCACATCCCTGAGCTTTACTGGGATCAGGAGGCCGACATGAAGTTCTGCAGCATCACTTTGTTATCCAAACACCGGCCTAGGGGCTCTTCCCTTAGCTCCAGGAGCCCCTCAGCTGCTGCAGTTCCCAAACTGGTGTCCCTGACCCACTTCTTTCTTGGCAGCTAAAGCCAGCTTACTGCAGAGGAAGCAACTGTGCTACACATGCATGTTTCTGCTTGGCTGCTTCTTTTAGCAGCCATAGGAATCTCCCAGAGCTCTGGGCCCAAAGCTGAAGAAATGAGTTTGTGAGCCTCAGTAAGTGTGGCAGTTGGATGGGGGGAGGCTCCTAGCCCAGAGACTTTGCCTTATGCTCCTTATATTCTTGGCTTTTGCCTTACGCTTCTGGTACATCTTTGAATCTGGACAGTGGCAGAGCTGTCACTTTGCAGTCTGGGCTATGGCCCCTGTGCCAGCCACCTGCCCATGCTCTTGCTCCATCTCAAAGCCCTTCCGTGGCCCTCCATGCTCTCCCTCTGCTCGCTCTGCTCCTCTTAGCATCCTAGCTCTGATGGCAAAAGGTGTTTTGGGGCCTTTACTCTCTGCTGAAAGAGATGTTGGCACTGTCCTGCCGTCTGAACTGTACTTTTGTGAATGGCTGTCAACATCTCTCTTGGTTCCTGTCCCTAAGCAAAGGAATGGGAAGTGCCACATGCCCATCCAGGCATCTGAGCTCTTGTTTCCTGCTTCTGCATGTTCATTATCCAGTAGCTTGTTAGCATGGCAGTGCATGGCAGCAGAGTTGTAGGTTGTGGTGAGGATCTACAGAGCTTGGAGTTGAGGAGCAGTACCACATTTGTTGGAGCAGGGCTCAAGGGGACGTGATGCAAGTGGTGGTATCGTTGGAAATTCCCAGCACTGCTCTTGAGGCTGATGAGTTGTTGATAGGTGAAGATGCTGTTGGATGATAATCTGAAAGCTCTTTCTGTGACTGAAGTACTTCACCTCCTTCCTGGTTTCACTGTTCTTCTAGAGATTTTGACCTTTAGGATTGAGAGAACCAGGGGTCTGGGACCCGTGTTAGCTAATCTGTTGAGCACAGAGTGGCTGAGGTGTCTCTAGGCTCCATGAATGCTTAAGCTTGAAAGCAAACAAAGACTTCGCATCAGTAGCAAAGTCCATGGTATAAATGCTTGAGAACTGCATGGTTTTGACTGATGATAAATAATCTTCTTTGTACAAAAACAAAACAAAACCCCCAAAAACTGGGGTAGATAACCTTTATTCAGTGCATCCTCTTCTTTCAGAAAACTTCCCCCTCCCTGATCTGGTGTCCGAGACTAGCACTGGTGTGGAAACTACAGCCAATAGCAGCACTTCCCTAAGGTAAGACTGCTCTTATTTTCACTATTTTTCGTGATTCTTGCAGATCTTAGGCTGCACTTCAGAAGAAGTCACGACTGAGATTCCCATTCTTCAGCTTTCACAAGGCACCCTGAAAACTCTAGGCAGTCATGTTAAAAAAGATAGATGAGTTTCCTCAGTACTGATTTCTTTAATTGAAAAAATGAATGAACTTTTCATACCACTGCCATTTAAACGTAAATTAAGGGACAGAAAATGTGTGGTTTTTATCTTGAGTCTGTGATTAGCCTCCCTCCTGGTTTACTCCCTTGTGTGGTGGTTAATGCTGCATATGTGTTGGGAGGCTTTAAGCCCTGTCTGCAGGACTCTTGAATTCTGTGGTGACAGAAGATCATAGAAGCAGTACAGTTGATAAAACCTTTCTAAGGTCCAGAGGATGCACACAGGAGTCACGCTGGCTTAGCCACAAGACATTTTTTATCAATCTTTTAACACTTAGTGTCATTTTTCATCTATAGATTAACTGAAATAGTATTATAAAACTGACTTGACTGTTGTAATTTTTCCCTTAAGATCTGCCATTCCTGAGAAGGAAGTTCCTGTGATCTTCATCCATCCTTTAAACACTGGCTTATTCAGGATAAAACTACAAGGAGCAACTGGGAAATTCAACATGGTTATCCCCTTGGTGGATGGAATGATAGTCAGTAGGAGAGCTCTTGGTAAGCTAAAGATTTTTAGAATGCTGATGTATTGATATTTTTTAAAAATAATAATAAGTCTGCAAAATACTTTTTCTAGTGAAAGATTCCAGACCGTCTATTTAGGCATGGCAGAACAAAATGAAAATATGCTTTTTGCAGCCACAGTGGTAGCAGGAACAGCAGAGGGAGCAGGTGGGCAGCGCTTAGCTGACAGCACAGCAGGGCTCCACCACACTTGTAGGAAAGTGAAGGGCTGGAACTAGTAATGGTGGAAGGAGAAGGTAAATGCCTCTTATTTAGATAAGAGAGATCAGAAATGTGACCTTAATGTTTAACATTGAGAGCCAAGGTGCTGGTGCTAGTTGGCTGCCAGAGTGTACTGCTGAATTTCTGTGCTGTGCTGGCATGCTGCCTTTGTTCCTGCTGTTTTAGAAGCTGGGTAGTGATTAAAAGCCACAGCAATTGAGGATTTTCTAATGCATTCAATAAAGATACATAACCTACTCTGCAGGCATGTGTTAACAGGGGTCTGTGTGTGCTCTGCCTTTTCCTGTGCTCCTGGATGGATTAATGGTTCTGCATTGTTATCTGTGCTCCTACAGCTTCAGTAACTGGAAATCTTGCTCCAGTGAAGGCAATTCCCAAGACAGAACAAAATGAATAAACAAATGTTAGGATACTTGTACATAGCCATAAAACTGATGTTGTAGGGGTCTGTTGGGGGTGACTTTCAGGCTCTGTTTTTTGCGTGCTTAATTCAGTGATGGAGACATTGAAGCCAGACTGGGCCTTTAAATAACATTTGTGAATTCAGCTGATGACAATGGCATGTACTGAAAAAGAATCAGGTGTGTTTTCCTAGGGCTGGGCTGGTTTTTCAGCTGCATCAGGACTATTAATATAATTAAATTCGTCTCGTGTCTAAGTTCAGGAGATGTGGTTTGTGTGCAGCCAGGAATCAAGTCCTCTAAACAAGGAAGACACTGTTTCTGCCTGTCAAACTGCTTGTGAAACAGCAAAGAGGTTAATGGACTCTTACTTTATTAGACCCATACTAATTTCATTTCAGAATAAAATAAGATAGTCCACTGCCAGCTTTGGCCAAATGTTACTGCTTTGGTTCCCACCTTCTCCCTGCCCTGTACAGCAGTATGAGTAGGAGAGGTAACAACAGGGGCAAAGCAGCGAGGGGAACAGAAACCTATTTCCAGCGACAACCCATCAAGTCTTTCCTCATCCCCTGTTCCAAGGGCAAGGCCCTGCAATTCCTG